ACATTGACGACGGACGATGTTAATGACGATGACATTGACGACGATGTTAATGACGATGACATGGACGACGATTGTTAATGAAGATGACATGACCGACGATGTTAATGAGGATGACATTGATGACGATGTTAATGACGATGACATTGACGACGATGTTAATGACGATGACATTGACGACGATGTTAATGAAGATGACATTGACGACGATGTTAATGAAGATGACATTGACGACGATGTTAATGACGATGACATTGACGACGTTAATGAAGATGACATTGACGACGACGATGTTAATGAAGATGACATTGACGACGATGTTAATGACGATGACATTGACGACGATGTTAATGACGATGACATTGACGACGACGAAGTTAATGAAGATGACATTGACGACGATGTTAATGAAGATGACATTGACGACGATGTTAATGAAGATGACATTGACGACGACGTTAATGAAGATGACATTGACAACGATGTTAATGAAGATGACATTGATGACGATGTTAATGAAGATGACATTGATGACGACGATGTTAATGACGATGACATTGACGACGATGTTAATGAAGATGACATTACGACGACGATGTTAATGAAGATGACATTGACGACGATGTTATTGACGATGACATTGACACTGATGTTAATGAAGAGACATTGACGACGACGATGTTAATGAAGATGACATTGACGACGATGTTAATGACGATGACATTGACGACGATGTTTAATGAAGATGACATTAACGACGACGATGTTAATGAAGTGGACATGACGTACGACGATGTGAATGAAGATGACATGGGACATTGACGACGATGTTAATGAAGATGACATTGACGACGATGTTAATGAAGATGACATTGACGACGACGTTAATGAAGATGACATTGACGACGATGTTAATGAAGATGACATTGACGACGTTGTTAATGAAGATGACATTGACGACGATGTTAATGAAGATGACATTGACGACGATGTTAATGACGATGACATTGATGACGATGTTAATGAAGATGACATTGACGACGACGATGTTAATGAAGATGACTTTGACGACGATGTTAATGGAGATGACATTGACGACGATGTTAATGAAGATGACGTTAACGACGACGTAAATGGAGATGACATTGACGACGATGTTAATGAAGATGACATTAACGAGGACGATGTTAATGACGATGACATTGACGACGATGTTAATGACGATGACATTGACGACGATGTTAATGACGATGACATTGACGACGACGACGATGTTAATGAAGATGACATTGACGACAACAATGTTAATGACGATGACATTGACGACGATGTTAATGAAGATGACATTGACGACGATGTTAATGAAGATGACATTGACGACGATGTTAATGAAGATGACATTGACGACGACGATGTTAATGAAGATGACATTGACGACGATGTTAATGACGATGACATTGACGACGATGTTAATGAAGATGACATTGACGACGATGTTAATGACGATGACATTGATGACGATGTTAATGAAGATGACATTGACGACGACGATGTTAATGAAGATGACTTTGACGACGACGATGTTAATGAAGATGACATTGACGACGATGTTAATGAAGATGACATTGACGACGACGATGTTAATGAAGATGACATTAACGAGGACGATGTTAATGAAGATGACATTGACGACGATGTTAATGAAGATGACATTGACGACGACGATGTTAATGACGATGACATTGACGACGACGACGATGTTAATGAAGATGACATTGACGACGATGTTAATGACGATGACATTGACGACGACGATGTTAATGAAGATGACATTGACGACGACGATGTTAATGAAGATGACATTGACGATGACGATGTTAATGAAGATGACATTGACGACGATGTTAATTACGATGACATTGATGACAATGTTAATGAAGATGACATTGACGACGACGATGTTAATGAAGATGACATTAACGAGGACGATGTTAATGAAGATGACATTGACGACGATGTTAATGACGATGACATTGATGACAATGTTAATGAAGATGACATTGACTACGATGTTAATGACGATGACATTGACTACGATGTTAATGAAGATGACATTGACGACGACGATGTTAATGAAGATGACATTGATGACGATGTTAATGACGATGACTTTGACGACGATGTTAATGAAGATGACATTGACTACGATGTTAATGAAGATGACATTGACGACGATGTTAATGAAGATGACATTGACGACGACGATGTTAATGAAGATGACATTGACGACGATGTTAATGACGATGACATTGACGACGACGACGATGTTAATGAAGATGACATTGACGACGATGTTAATAACGATGACATTGACGACGACGATGTTAATGAAGATGACATTGACGACGACGATGTTAATGAAGATGACATTAACGAGGACGATGTTAATGAAGATGACATTGACGACGATGTTAATGACGATGACATTGATGACAATGTTAATGAAGATGACATTGACGACGACGATGTTAATGAAGATGACATTAACGAGGACGATGTTAATGAAGATGACATTGACGACGATGTTAATGACGATGACATTGATGACAATGTTAATGAAGATGACATTAACGACGATGATGTTAATGAAGATGACATTGACGACGACGATGTTAATGAAGATGACATTGACGACGATGTTAATGACGATGACATTGATGACGATGTTAATGAAGATGACATTGACGACGATGATGTTAATGAAGATGTCATTAACGAGGACGATGTTAATGAAGATGACATTGACGACGATGTTAATGACGATGACATTGATGACGATGTTAATGAAGATGACATTGACGACGACGATGTTAATGAAGATGACTTTGACGACGACGATGTTAATGAAGATGACATTGACGACGATGTTAATGACGATGACATTGATGACGATGTTAATGAAGATGACATTGACGACGATGATGTTAATGAAGATGACATTAACGACGACGATGTTAATGAAGATGACATTGACGACGATGTTAATGAAGATGACATTAACGACGACGATGTTAATGAAGATGACATTAACGACGACGATGTTAATGAAGATGACATTGACGACGATGTTAATGACGATGACATTGACGACGATGTTAATGAAGATGACATTAACGACGACGATGTTAATGAAGATGACATTGACAATGATGTTAATGAAGATGACATTGACGACGACGATGTTAATGAAGATGACATTGATGACGATGTTAATGACGATGACATTGACGACGACGATGTTAATGAAGATGACATTGACGACGATGTTAATGACGATGACATTGACGACGATGTTAATGAAGATGACATTGACGACGATGTTAATGAAGATGACATTGACGACGATGTTAATGACGATGACATTGACGACGACGATGTTAATGAAGATGACATTGACGACGATGTTAATGAAGATGACATTGACGACGATGTTAATGACGATGACATTGACGACGACGATGTTAATGAAGATGACATTGACGACGATGTTAATGAAGATGACATTGACGACGACGATGTTAATGAAGATGACATTGACGACGATGTTAATGAAGATGACATTGACGACGATGTTAATGACGATGACATTAACGACGACGATGTTAATGAAGATGACATTGACGACGATGTTAATGAAGATGACATTGACGACGATGTTAATGAAGATAACATTGATGACGACGATGTTAATGAAGATGACATTGACGACGATGTTAATGAAGATGACATTAACGACGACGATGTTAATGAAGATGACATTGACTACGATGTTAATGAAGATGACATTGACGACGATGTTAATGAAGATGACATTGACGACGATGTTAATGAAGATGACATTAACGACGACGATGTTAATGAAGATGACTTTGACGACGACGATGTTAATGAAGATGACATTGACGACGATGTTAATGAAGATGACATTGACGGCGACGATGTTAATGAAGATGACATTGATGACGACGATGTTAATGAAGATGACATTAACGACGATGTTAATGACGATGACATTGACGACGACGATGTTAATGAAGATGACATTGACGACGATGTTAATGAAGATGACATTGACGACGACGATGTTAATGAAGATGACATTGACGACGATGTTAATGAAGATGACATTGACGACGACGTTAATGAAGATGACATTGACGACGACGATGTTAATGAAGATGACATTGACGACGATGTTAATGAAGATGACATTGACGATGATGTTAATGATGATGACATTGACGACGATGTTAATGAAGATGACATTAACGACGATGTTAATGACGATGACAT